AAATCGGTAGCTCGTTAGCGTCTTCGGTCATTGCGTCCCAGCTCCAACGCCACCGCTCGGCGAGGCCTTCCCTGGACACCCTCCAGAGCAGCCCCCGCTACGCATGTCCAGTTTCTACGTGTCATTGCCCTCCTGACGCCTTCGCGGCGTTCCTTGTGTGTGAAATCACTTATTTATTGATGTGTGGTTTACTGTTCCCCCTCCCCCCCTTAGGCTGTGTGCTGCCTGAAGGGAGGGGACCTCGTCTCACTCACTCCCGTGTCCCCTGTGCCTAGTTAGTGTCTGGTATGTCGTGGGTTCTCGGATGTTTATCTGCTGTCTTGATGAATAAATGATGCAGACGGTTCAGACTTGGGAGCAAGCCCTCGGGAATAGGGACAGCGCTGTCATCATTCTAGGAAGGGAGTCTGAGGCCACCAACCCGAGGACTTTCAGGACTGAAGCACCTGGGCAGCTGTCATGGCATGGGGTGGGATGACAAGTGAGGCTTGAGGACGATGGGCACAGGGACTGTGGGAGGGTTTAGTGGGCCATGCTCAGTATGTCCTGGGGGCTGCTGACCTCTCGTGGCTATGGACACCCCAGGTGGGTTTAGGAGAAGGGCTTTGCTGTGAGGCTCCTGACCTCGTTGCTCGATAGCCAATTCCCAGAATTTCAAAAGCTTTTCCATCCTAGGGGAATTCGTGGAGCTCAAGTAAGCTCGAGTATTCTTGAGCTAGGGATTTCTTTCTCTCTTCCTTTTTCTTTCTTTCTTTCTTTTTAAAAATAAGTATTTATTTTATTATATTATTACTATTTTTAACTTGACCAGAGAGAGAGAAAGGGTGAGACGTCGTCTCGGCTGGTCAGACAGAGCAGTCTGCTTTTGACCCACTCTGCTCGAAGGTTTACGGAGCAAGACGTGCTTATAGAAATCTTTCAATGGAAAAGGTCAAAGCAGCAAAATGAGAGTGAGCTGAAGTATAAGAATCAAAGTCATGACCCAGCAGGTGGCATGGAGGTTGAGGTACTGGTTAAGGTACATGACCAGCTGCGCGGTTTGAGTTCTGGACCTAGTGCCTTGAGAACGGTGCTGGGTGTGTGTGCCCAGTATCCCAAGAGGAGTCTGGAGGAGAAGGAATTGCGCTGTGGTCATCCCCCAGGGGGTGATTTCTCACCCCCCTTTCTGGTGATCCCTGTGCCCTATAGCAAAAATCAATCAATCAATAAATCATAATGCGAAGCTGCGGCACAGGTGTCACTGTGCTGCCTTAACCATCGTGCACAGGGTGGCCTTATATCT